AAATAAATTAACTGCTGTTAATATACTTACTCGTTGTTAATATGCATATTCACTGCTCTTAAAGCAATGTTAATCTTAGACATGAAACTTAAAACAATTCTTGATTGTTGAATTCCTTGCTTATTGAACATAAATTGACATATTGAACATTAACATAAATTGATTAGACAGATTCAGTTGATAAAATGTTGAAAGCAGAAATTCTTTATAGAATATCCGTAGATTGGTGCCATCTGAAGCAATTGTTTCTGATTAAGCCAGAAATTGAGTTTTACAAATCATTACCAAAAGCTAGTTTCCCAAATATTTCATACCTAAAAAATCAGGGCTATGTTTGCTTCATTTTATTTAAGTGTTTTCATCGACGAACCCGAGAAAAAAATCATTTCAAAAGTAGAATAACAGACAAACATTTACCCTTGTTCCTTAAAATAAGTACATCTCACTTGGAAACCTTACTGTAAGGAATTTTTAAAAATGAAATCGTAATTTCATTCATCTCATTAAATATTTATATTGAAAATTGCATATAGTATTTAATTTTTATTTTAGATGTTTTTACTTAGCCCAACAAATTTTTTTTTCTTCGATTTTTTGCCCTCGATCAGAAAAGTTTGCCCATCCTTGGTTTAGAGAATAGATGCGGAACTGAAAAGTGGGAAACTAAATTGTCAAAAAAAAAAGAAAAAGACTTTTCTGCTGTGCATTTTTCTTTCCGTCTTTAGTAAAACGTATATGTGAAGAATTTTAATGGCAAAGAAAGCTAACCTCAGAATATAGGATTAAAGGAAACCTATAAGTATATTTTTCAAAGTAATAATGTTTTTAGTCCCGCAGTGGACTGATCGTTAAGACACGGTTCCCAGCAGATCACCGAAGTCAAGCATCACTGGCTACGGTCAGTGTGTGGGTCTGTGACCACTTGGATCAGTTTGAGTAGGGACCGAGGGTGTGCGGTATGGGTCCTCGTTAAACTGTGCTACCGTAAAGCGCTCGACTTCGCGCGTAGGTCATCGGGCTACCGAAGAGGGGGTGCCATCCCCTCCGCAGAGGATCAAAATTGTGATGGCATGTCTTCGGATCATCCTCCGGGATGTTTCCCAGACCGTCGCCAATAGCCCATTGTGCAGCTCTAGTGCGAC